AAGGTGGATACTACTTGTTTTGTGTTTTACTTTTTCATATCTCTTTTAATGTGAGATATTTACTTCTTCTATGGTTTTATTCTATTGTTTTGAAATATTCTTTAGCACTCCATGTGAATTTGTATTCATATAGAAAGATATGTTGTTTGAGTTTTTATTAAGATCTTCTACTATTGCAAACATATAACTATATATTTCTTCTCTTAAGTATGTATGGATTTTTGGATATGTAGCAAGTTTTTGCTTTAATTTATTTTAAGGCACAAATTAATAAACTTGTAAAGATATTGTAGTCTTAAGAACTGGCCATTATGCTCTTTATTAATTTTGTTAACTTCTTAATTAATGGATTCATATTAAGTGAAAATAACCCTTATCACTTCTGTTTTGATAGGAATTATCCATAGATTTTTTAGCTTATTGTTTTATTTATAAGGAGTAATTCGTACCTTAATTCTTCATTGTGATTTTGAGTAATTGTATATATAAATATTTGTAAGTTTTTCATATGTTTGTAAAGTTATCTTAACATCTTGTCATATATAACTATTATTTATATCAATTAGGATTACAAATAGATCTTTATTCTTTTCTTCTATTTTTTTTTAAAGATTTTTTTATTAGGTGAAAATTTTGGCTCTTTCTATTTTTCCATACTTATAAGTATTATTATAAAGTTTTTATCTTCTTTTTTGTTGAGTTTTTTCAAACAATTCAAAGTATCTTTTTTTTCTTCAAAGATAAAAATTGTTCAAGTATTACTATTGAGAAATTCTTTTGTATATAGTTGAAGTTCTTTTGATAAGCTAAAAGTGTTTTAAAGATATGCTATTCTTTTTTTTTTACTTTTTTCTAGTATTCTATATATTAGAGTTCTTAATTTGTAGGCTCCATTTTTAATAATATGAAATAGATTAATACTAGTTGATTTTTATTTATTTCTAGTATTATAGGATTGTAGCTCTATAATGTTATTTCCTTTTACTTTTTCTTAATTTTCTTCATTTCCAATTGATCTTTAATCTCTTTATAATCCATTTCTATTTTGACATTGTTGGAGACTTTTATTGTATATATTGGTTGAATTTCTATAACTATTTCTTCATTTGATAATTTGTCAAACTTAAATATATATTATTTATAATTATGTTTTCTTGCTTTGTTTGTTACTGCTAATATATTTTTTCTTTTGTTCTATCAATTTCATATACTTATTTTTCAAGAACGAGATCAACAAATCATCATCTTTTTTTTTTGTTCTTGGACCCATGAGTATAGGATGTATTGTCTTAAAATTGTAACTTTAGTGAAAGTGGTATAGTTAATGTTAAGGATTTTGATTATAATACTATCTAAAATTGAGCATCTTGTAAGATTGGGAACTAGATTAAGGTTGTCTTCTTGTATAGAAATTGTATTAAGGATTGTTTATATTGCCTATAATTTTTTTTCTTGATAATATTTGTTTAATAAGTTGATTAAGATTTCTAGGATATAAATTTCACATTTATTTATAATCTGTAGTAATCTTCATATTGTTGATATTATTGTGCTTGTTATATATTACAGATTAATAGGTTTAACTTGTATTTTGTTGTTTTTAATATATGATAAAGATTTGTTTATTCCTTGTAACCAATTTGATAATATATAAAAACCTTAAAATTATTGTGTTGTGAATTTAAGTTATGTTTTTCATGTTTGTTATAATAAAATGTTGTTATTATTGATCAGCTTGTTATAGACATATGAAAATATAAAATGTTATTGATTTATTTACTGTAAATATGTAAATAATCTATAAACATTATTTATATAGACACATCTTTTTGATCTTGTTTTTCTTGAGGAAATATATGTATACATGTTTGTGTGATATTATGTTTGTTAAAATTTTGTTTGTTGTAATGCATATGCTTCTTTACTGTATAATCAATAAAGCTTAAATGTTCCTTTAAATTTTATAAGTATTTGAATTTAAATTAATTTATTGATTTAAATTATTGCTTGTAAGGTTCTTCTTGGTATCTAAAAAGATGTTAATTTGCATTGATCTGGTTAAAAGCTTTGTGAGGTTGATGTTGGATTTTCAAGAGCTTATTGTGATTTAATTTTTAATTTTGTTTATTCTTTCTAAAAAGAAAAATTTTGTATAAAAAGATTAGAAATTTTTAAATACTTACTTGTTCTTATACTATAACTAGTTGTTTCTTAGTGTTTCTATAGTGTTTCTTGTAAGTGGATAATCTTTGATATTAGTTTTCGCTTGTTTTTTGCTTCTCTTTTTTTAAAAATTACCAAAAAAGGAAAATTTCTGAAAAAATGGGGATCAGCAGAAAGATATCTTTATTCCGAAATAGATCTGCGAATCTGTTAAAATTTCCATTTTTGTTCCATTCTAATATCAGGAGCTCTTCTCGCATTATATGTAAATCGGTGATACTTTTTTATCCGTGATATAATGCATTAATTAAAGACTTATGCCAGAAAGTTCGAGCAAAAAACATGATGAGTGACCAGTTTATTAATAAATCATTAAAAATAAACGCGTGACGTGATTCTACAGTATAGCGGAGCTGATGCCTAGGGCATCTAAAATAAAGCGTATATACAGTAGGTAAAGGTGATTTCAACACAAATGTGCTAAACTTTATCTGCATTTATTCTATGAATTTTCAAGTGCTGGTGTCTGGTACATTGCATATATGTTTTTGAGGCCTTCGAGGGTTGCGTGTTCGATATTTATGGTCCATTTGGAAGCCTTCGTCCGCTTTGGACTCACAATAACGTCGCCAATGGCAGAGTTAGTAAGAATCCCACGAAACTTTGACTTTTCCATTATTTTGTACGTACCATGGACAGACTTGTTGATCGATGCCTCCAACGACGCGATTCGGTCAAGCAATTCCGAAGTGGTGGTTGGTACGGGTTGCTCAACAATGATATGGATATGTCTCTTAGGTAGCTTTTCGACCCAGTAATCTTCTACATCTCAGGTTGCAACGAGTTCGGTTTGATCTTGGAGTGAGAGATTGCTCAGTTGATCATCGTGATCGTCAGGAATTTCCATCTTCTATAACCTGAATTCGTCAACCTCTACACCATGAAAAGTTTTATGGTTTTCCGCCTTGATATCTTTTTTGAGGTGGCCAACAAGCTGATACTTATCTATATCGACAGGAAAAGCGTTAGCTAGAGTATTTCCTTCAATGAGATATACTATTTTTTGCGAATTTTATTGGTGCAATAGAGTGAGGACAAGAATTTTATTTGCGAAAAATACTGAGGCAGACTATATGCGAGAAATTCCCCTGTCGCACATACCTGCGGACGAACCAATTTTACAAATCTGTACTCTGAACTTCGGTCAATTTCTGATAATAATTAGTAAAAAGCGTAGTACATTATTTTTGCATGAAGTGTGAAAACGCTCGTCACAAAGAAGTCATTTTATATTTGCTAGTTAATATAGTATAGCTGCAATTCATTTTTTGAGCTTAAACGAAGGACATGTATCGTAAATTATATAAAGTAAGCTATGCATGCATTATAATACAAACCAATTTACGATTAAGGTTATGCTATACATTATATATTTGATTTCCGAACTTCAGTCATTTTTTTTTCCTTAATAGCTGTTTGTTTTCTTGAGGAGGAATCAACCATCTTTTTATCTTCTTTTCTTTTCTTTGCTTTTAATTCTTCATTTATTGCATGCGGAGAGTTTTTAATCTTAACAATCCACTGGATCTGCTGAGTTGGCGTTATTGGTTCTTCCTGAGAATACTATTGTACCTTCGAAAGTTGTTGTCAACAATTTTCTATACAAAAATTTTTAATTCTGTTAGTAAAAATTAATGTTTTAAAATATAAAATTTAGAGAAGTAAACTTACACGAAATCGAATCAAACAACTAAATGCATTACTAAGTACATCGAAATCATAAACTGTTTTTGGTAATTCGTAACTAAATATTTTTAAAAAAAAGATATAGTTCCGGAGCGGGTAGGTGCATAACATAAACTCGCGCTTCTAATTCTAAAATTATAAAAAAACTTAGTCTTAGTCTTTAAACATTAGTTATTATAATCATTATGCATTACTTACTTGATGTAATAACCCCCATATACTTCAATCTCTTTTATATCGTTACCTCTCTCAGAATCTTCAAAAAGCTTGGATATCTTTGTTATTTGATCATGCATCAATCCAATAATTTTTTTTGTATCATCTATATTCTTCTTTCGTCCTTCACTAGATGTATTCTTTGCGTGTTCTATTACCACAATTTCTACACTTCTTTTAGAATAGATAACTTTGATGTCGGGGATCAAGCCGAGTCGCGTTCTCGAGTCATTTTCGTAGTTCCTACGATCTTTGTTTGCAGTAAGGGCACTATTGATGAAAATAAAAATTATGTGTTAATCTTAAAGCATCATGTGCAAAAGTTTTTTAAACAAAAGAAGTAATTACCTGTTAATATTTACCAAGTAATTCTTAATGCGAAATAAATTCATAAAAATGGGTATGTGTGTAATTGATGCTACGTGATTTTCTGATAACGATTGCTGAAAATAAGTTTCGTCAAGACTAAAGTAACTAGTGCTAAAATTGGAGAAAATATTATGTCAATAATTGCTTAAAACAGGTTATATAATTATATATATTATTACAATTCTTACAATGCATGGACTATCGAAACAATGAAACTTTGAGTTACTGAAGCTATATCAAAGTTGAATGATGAATGTTTTAGATACAAAGTCTTTTGCATCAGAAATATCCGAAACATCTCTTATTTCTCTCAGCATTGTCTTCATCTTTGAATCGATATTATCGTCTCTGAAGTCTTTCTTAAACTTTTCTGATATCACTTTAAACGCTCTTGTTTGAAGTCTTCAAGGTTTATCACCCCCATTTTGATGGGATCGCTAGACAATCACATGTATATTTTGTATTTATTAGTAATTGTTTTTTTAAAAAAAAACTTAAAAAAGATATTACCATTGTTCTGCATCATTATAAATTTCTAAAATTTCCCGGTTAATATGATTTAAATCCTATTTTTGTAATAATTATAATCGTTAGAAGTTCTTTTGTATTTGTAAATACAAGAGTACATACTTCGTTAAAGTTTAGCCCAAAACATGGAACATGTTCTGAAACGACATATACATCTTCCGTTGACTCTTGTAGGCCTTCAGAATAGCCACCAAATTTTCTCTTCGATCTCTTATGGGTTTCATCATCAACATGGTCCTCTTCAGATGAATTGGAAATTGATTCGGAATATTCTCTTCCACTCCTAGCTCGATACTTTTGTTTATGATATCGGAGTTGAATGTTAAAAGGAAAGTTACTTGCTATACAATACATCACAATTTTTGAATACTCATGATAACAGATGCTGACCTGTTCTAAGGATTTGTTTGATGGCTGTTCGAAAAACGCTTTGTGATGTTTTCCGGTTAGATGACGATTATCGATGCTATCGATAGACACAGTACTAGCGAGCACCTGCTGTTGTAGCTAATCGAAAAAAAACGTTACTCATGTTTTTTTTTTGTCTAAAGAAATTTCAGGCTAAAATCTCACCTGACTAAACTCGAACTTGAAACCTGTATCATCGCCCATCGTGGTCCAATTCTTAATAAATAAGAATTCGGAATTAGGGGTACTCGCAAGAAACATTATATAATAAACATAAATATACAAGCAAAGAAAGCGTCGAACGAAGAGTTCATCACTGTAGACCAAGAGTCACAGCTTGCACCCGGGAAGAACAAAGAGTTCATAACTGTCAACCATGAGTTACAGCTTTTCCCTAACTTGTAAATCTCTATCTCATAAAGAAGCATACTTTACAATTGTCAATGATTCCTTGGGCCTTTCTCTTACGCGTCGTGTCAGAAGCATACTTTCCAATTGTCAATGATTCCTTGGGCCTTTCTCTTACGCGTCGTGTCAAATTCAGAGTTCGTTTCTTTCACCTTTTTGAGATATTCTTTATGCTGTCCAGCAATTTTCTCCGGTCCTTTTGTCCTGAAGTAGCACGATAAAACTCTACAACTTTTTTACAAGTCCAGCCTTCAACTGCTCTATGTTTGTAAAAATCCATGATCATGTAGCGCGCAAATATCGACTCTTTGATAAGTGCAGAGATCGTTACACGGGTTTTGATCATTGGTTCGCGTGATTCTTGTACATGTATATACTTAAGGGGTCTATAAACAGATGCCCAAACGCCTGTAGTGTATGAATCAGAAAATGATAGTGAATGAAATTATATTGCGGAATAATAGCCTACCAAAAATAAATGACATGGGGGGTGTTATCCTTGCCGGCATATAGACCATAAACCGGAAATCGAAGTTCGAAAATTACGATTTAGCATTTAATTAAAAAATTTTTTATATTTAACTAATGTTAGTTCCGCGAAACATTAATACGGCTCACGGCAATTTTGATAATTTCGCGATTTTCGCGAATTTGACTGCGTGACGATCTGCGATTAAGTCACGTTTTACATTTTCCTCATGAGGTGACGCACATGTCATTTATTTTTGGTAAAAAATCTCTGCTTACAAAACCAGAAAAATCGTTTTTTTTTTTTTTTTTTTTTTTTTTTTTACACAATATACTGTATATTCTTTATAAGTAAATTAAGAATTACATTATTTAACCTAATTATTCTTTAGCATTCTGTACTTCTGCTAACGTTAGGGTCAAAACTCCCAATAATTCACTGAATTTAGTTAAATCCGGCCTAATACCATCCAATTTAAACTGCCGTACATTAGCAATTCCAACGTCCTCTAACCTCTTTTTCATAATTCCTTCATTGTTTCCTTTCAAAAAACTCACCAGGAATACTTGAGCGTGCGAGACGATTTCCTCACGATATTTCTTAAATAGCTCAGCAAATAAATGTCCGCTAAAACGAGTGTTTTCCTAATTTGAAGGGCGGATATGTATTAAAAAAAGAAAGAGAATATTTATAACATTAAATAATGCATGTAAACCCTACCTCTTCATCAGTTACAACTATGAAAACATCACAATGTTTTTTATTTTCATAATATGGATACAAGGTAGCGGCCGGAGCGGTTCCACCACTTGCGCGTATGGTTGCAGCAACGGTAAGCACATCAGATGCGTTACGCGGAACGTTGGGAGGTTCGACCACAACGGTATTAAAGAAAGTTAGATCGGCTTTAAGGCATACAGAAAGCAATGACCCAATGATCGTAGCAACTTTAACTGCCACTTCCATTGAGCCTGAACAATCACCAAAAACAGCAACCGTATGTTGATCTCCTCCAGGAACTTCGATCGATTTCAATTTTTCTTCAGCATACGTGATAAGCTGATTGTGGTTGGAAAAGGGGGTCCGAAGTTGACGGAAGGTGAGAATCCGCTCCATAAGTTTTGAATAATTCGAACGGCCATGTATTGATACGAGAGGCTCATTTTCATCTAGTCTAGCTACGATAGCTTGATCAGTTGCATCGCAAGCTAATTCCTCATAATACCATAGGACATCTTCTAAAGGAGCAGTCCGAGCCAATATTGCTTTGTGAGCATCGTTCAAAACAAAATCACCTGAATCGTTTGATTTCTGTCTAATATAAGAATAGTACTCCGAGAATTGAGGATAATCAAATAAAACTTTTTCAAGATTCTCAGTGGTTACGTTCATAAATGTGTAAATGGGACTATCAACTGGTGGATCACCACCATATATCATTGGTAAAAAATATTGTGCCTGAAAATCAGAGGCTTTCAGATGAGCAAGATCTGCCAGCTCTTTCCATGGCTCTTTAGGAAAATTCAAGAGGAAAAAATCTAAGCGATTTTGTGAAAAAGATGATGCCCAACGTTTAATTCTACGTTGAAAAGAACTTGTCAATGAAGCAGAATGAAGTTCCTGTCTGTAATTATTAATTTCCGATTTAATTCTACTCTTTTTTCCAGTTCTGACATTGAAGTTTTTGTTCTCCCACATGTCAAGCTTTTTTTGAAGTTGTCTGGCCTTCCTCGGTGCGTCCAGAATTTGGCAAGTTTTAAAAACGTCTAGAGAATACAACTTATATTAAATTTCGCAATTAATATAAGTTAAAGCTATAAAAAACAAAATCAGGTACCGGCAGGGAGCATTTTAGGTAAAAGCTCGTCGACGATGTCGTAATTTTTAGTTGCCCACAATGCAACTATAACTCTAGCCTTTACAGCTGTGGAAAGTGAAATATTTAGGTCGTCCAAAATTTTCACTGCTGTTTGATAAATTTTTGCTCCATATTCATTAATTGCATCGATATGTTGTTGTGCGCTTGAATTTGGATTTAATAAGATATCACGAACAGTTCTGACAGAAACAGTATTAGAACCGTAGGAGTTGCTTTCTGGATTTCCCATTCTCAGCGGAGGATATGTGTAGTGCAAGGTGACCAATAATTTAATCGAATGGAATATTTACTATTAAATTATATTTATTAGAACTGGTTATATTATATTCGATTGTCTTTATTGAGATATTAAATAAATATTTACAATATTATATTGATTGACTATACAATAGAATTCATTTTATATTGTTAGCAAAAATTTGATAAAATTTTAATTACAGTATATTATTAAAATATATCAAATTTTTAATAATAATATAAAATACAGTAACTCAAATTTTGATTTAATATAATTTTTAACAATTTTTATTTAAAAAAATTTTTTTAAAAAATATAATTTAAAAATTTAATTTTTATCTATATTTATTTATAATAATTGAAATTATTTTTAAAAAATTGAGAAATTAATAATATATAATAAATTAATTAATTTAAAATTTTTAAAGCTTTAAGTTAAACAAAAATTTTTAAATAATATTTAATAATATATAATTTTTTTTTTAATTAATCCCAATCATATCAAAATAATTTATCATTATTAAGATATCAAACAATCCATAAATCTTCTCATATAATAACTAACTCATTTTTGTATATTATTAGTTAAAGAACTATGCTACTTAAAAAATATGTAATATCTATTAAACTAGTTTGAACTAAACAAAACTAAATCTTGACTGGATATTTTAAATCAAATTTAGGAAACAATATTATACTCTTCTAGTAGCTTGACACAATATCTTTAAGTTAACTAGAATCATTGTCAACAATTTTTTATTATTAATTATCCTAAAAAATAATAAATTACTAAAATTGATACTAGAAAAGAGTAAATAGAAAACAACTTAAAATCTTTTAAAAAGTTCTTGTTCTATTTTATGGTCTCTTCTCAAAAAGAGTTTTGTCTAATGGAAATATTTTTCTTTGCTTCATTTGGATCGCAGAAAAAGTTTTTTTTGTTATTACTTGTGATATTATATGAGTCTTTATTTAAGTATATATCAGGATTGGAATAGTCCAAGAGAAACTAAAAAATCTTAGCTTCCACCTTAGAAAATCTTTTTACTACCTAAGGAACTTAAAAAAGAAATAGAATTTCTTTATATAAATCCACCACATCTTTCAGTATTATAATTTTTCCTCGAAATCAAATATATATAATTGAAAAAAAACTTTTTCTAAAATTTTTTTATATATATCACCTATAATATAATAAGCACAAGTGAGTATAACCAATAAAAACTTGTTTATTTTTTCTAAAATTAACATATTTCATATTAGTTATTTACCTTTGTGAGAATTTATACTATCCAAAATTCAGGATCAAATTGAAATAAGCAAAATTTTTCAAAAAATAATGAAAATAATAATTCTAAAAGGTTAACGAGTAATTGAAAAAGGAAAAAATGAATTCTTCTATCATCAAAAATTTCTATACACCTCTCATTTTAAAGAATGAAAAAGACTTTTAAGTACTTTACTATTGATTTTTTTTTTTTTGAAAACTTTCTTACTATTGCTATCAAAGGTGTTACTTGATTTATTTTGGAATTAGTAAGTTTTTGCTCAAAGAGAATTATAAACAAGTAAAAAAGAATAAAAACAACTCTTTAAATTACTTTTTAAGGAGTTTAAGAAAAGTATTAAGAATTTTTTAGTAAAAAAATGAACTTCTCATAAACATCTTTTTTTTTTATATAGTTAGAAGATTAGTAGAAAGAATAATATATAAATTCTATTATATAATAATTAATTTATTATTATACTGCATATCATAAAAATATAAAAATTTATTAATTTAAATAAAGAATATATATTTTAAATTAGATTTTTAATAAATTAATATTAAATTTCTATTTATTAAAGTTATTATTAATAGTTTATTATTATAAATTATTTTAAGAAATAATAAATTGTTAATTATAAAAAAAAACAATTTAAAGTTTTTTTAAAAATTTTTAATTAATTTAATAATTTTTTCTTGAAAAAATATATTTGATTGAAAAATTCTTTAATTTTAAACTGTTTAAAAAACTTAGTTACTTTTGAATAATAAAAATTTTTTTATATCTTTTTAATTTACAATTCTATTATCATGATATGTTTTTATACCTGTGGGTCAATAGCACAGTGGTAGTGTTTTCAGGTTACAGTCACAAGATCTGAAGTTCAATATCACATGAAGGCCATGTGAAAAATACTACACACAATGAAAAAATCTATTGGATGACAAATCAATATTTGTCATTAGACATAATCCTGACTATCTTACTGATATCTGAAATAGATTTCCACCATAATATAGTATCATCTATAGCTGATCTTTATCAGATCAGGCCAGTTTATAGATGTTATAGATGATCAATATTTTATTATTACTCTAATAAGGTGAAGAAGAATAGGGCTGGTCTCGTGGTCAACTGGAATAGAAATCTGATTGACAAGAAGTATTCTGCTGATCTTATTAACCAAAAAAGCTATCAAGTTAAGAAAGCTAAAGTTTCAGAATAGAGTAAACATTGTACTGGTGGGATACTTAAAAGCAGGACCAATTCAGTAACTGATATTCTAAGGAAACCTTGGTGGAAGAAGAAATTCATTAGATCATACTGAAGAATCAAATACTGGTTCAGGTTACAGTATATAACAGTTTGATAACTAGATTATTCTATAAAATTGTTCTAGGAAAAATTAAGATAGTGTCATGCACTCTCCCTTAAAATAGATTTTGGTTAGGTCTGGACTAGTTTATACATAGTGTATAATATATTTACCATATAATAAGTATATATATAAATATTATTTCATAGTAAATAAAGAGTGTAGGATCTTCTGACCATACACAAAAAAGATGTTCACATAAAAAATTTAATACTTTCTTACTAATAAAGTCTTATCCCTTTCCTTAAACCAACTTGAAAAACACTTCAGAAGTCATTTCAACTCCCTTCCTCTTGTATACACTCTCTTCAAACAAAAACTTGACTGCTAGTGACCTAAAACAGTTATGAAATACCTTTCCTACCAATGGCAAGAAAGTTCTGAAAGGAAGAAGAACTGATTCTCTACTACCTATTCACATATAGATAAATATTACAGAGCTTGTTTGTATAATGAGTGAGCTATCACAAATGCACATTATCTACTTTCTTCATTATTTATTGGGCTCTAATAGTACTCTTTCTCAGTTTTTCCTGAGGAATTTTGCTTACCTTAGTTTGACCCTGAATTTTGAGTAGCACAAAGTTTCTCATATGCTGATTGGCTCAGTAGAATTATATCAGTAAAAGAATGTAAACAAGCTCCTATTGGACACCTTACATGTTTGAAAATATTTCCTCAGTCTTATAAGAACCTGAAGCCCACCATAAGTTGTATACCAGTTGCCAGGTGGATAGTGGACACAGTCACTTCCTACATCAGTGAACATCCCACGAAAGAGTCAAAGAAACTGGTCAGTTGTCATCTTTCAATTAGCTCAGCTCTTAGGATATGGAGGCCTAGCATATATTTCTCTACTTCATTATAAGACCCTATGTTATACAGTGGATCAATTTATACAGCTATACCTATCTCCTTCCTTAACCTTTACTTTTTATAAAGATTGAATCCCTCACCTTTGATAAATAGTAATATTAAAAGAAGTAGTGTCTACACCATAGTTGAATTTCCTTCCTCTCTCCTATACAAAAACAACTAGATAGACGAAAGATCTAAAGAATTCTTCCTTCCTACTTAGTATCAGTAGTTAACTTGTAGATATAGTTAGAAATCGGCTGGAAAGTAATTTCACCAAGAGACTTAATTCGAGTTCCCCATACTACCGAGGATTCTAGTTAAAGGCAAATAGGGTGCCTCAATCTCAAGTGAAAGACTTTGTTATAATTAAAAACCAATGAACTTGGCTTAATCTCAGAGAATATAAAAGGAGAAGCAGGTCTTATCATACTTTTTTCATGTGGTTTTTGATAAGGCATTCATGGACTGAGTAACAGTTTCTTCTACTATATAAGCTGCAAAGTAATTGGAAGTATATGAAACACCTTTTCTATTGAAACGAACCCATTCTGAAGTTTATCAAGTTACTCCTCATACTAAGTATAAACAACACACTGGTCAGGACTTCTACCCTAGGATCAAAATCTCTTTCAGTAATTTCTTTTTATAGGAGGTTTTTGAAATTCTAATAATATATTGAAATATAGCTTCACATATAGATCTTATATATCTCTCTTATCCTCCAATTTTGCTCCACTGCTTCTGTTAACATAACACACTAGTGGAACTTTATATACACTAGATTAGTTTGAGTTGTTAATTATTAGTCAAAGTGAACTAGTTGCAAACTATTTGTTATAATAGTATAGGGTATATAGTTTTACAAATTGCTTGTATTTTTCCTATATCTGAACTTAATAATCAAATAAACTGATTAATATGTATTTTATAAAAAAAAAAAAAAATAATATGTTTTTATTAAAATATCAAAAATAACTACAAAATTATATAAACTATTTACATAATAACTAATTTATTATTAGTTAAAAACTATACTATATAAAAAATATAAAGACTTCACTAAGTTGGTTTAAACAAAGTCTAAATTAAATACTTTAAGTCAGATTTAGGGAATAGTATTATATTTCCTTAATAGATTAATTATAATTTCTATCTATTTTTTTTTTTAATGGGATTAATGATACCTAGTTTTAATTGAGTTTATTAGTATAATAGGTATATTATAACTGAAAGCTACAAATTTATAAAGGCTATATTATAATTTATAACTCCAAATATTATCCTAAATTCTATCTAATAGTTACAGTAAATCAATTTTTCACAATTGTAACCCATATGGCATATTGTTGAAAGAAGTATTACTACTCCCCTACTTATATCCAAACCCTTCTTATTTAGTTTGCCAAATAACTAAATCATATTTGAAACCTTTTTATATTTCATTCTGTCAAATATTCTTTTTATATTACCTATTATAGTATACCTATGAAA